TGATCCTGCCTGGGGCTTGAGTTCCTTGGCTTTGTCATGTGTGTTTGATTTCACCTTCTTGCCTTAACCTTTCATCAGCATTTCCCTGCAGTGGGAGGAGGGCTGGCAGCTGGGATGCTGTGTGGCACTTTACCAGGGCATTTCCCTGCCTGGGAGGAATGCTGCAGGTGGGATGCTGTGTGGCACTCCCCTCCTGGTAGCTCAGGGCTGTTTGAATCCCCAGCACAGATCTCTCCTCCCAGCCTGTGCTGGGCTGTGGGAGGTTAATGCAATTCAGAGCCTTGGGCAAGCTCTGTGATGAGGGTGATAAGAGCCTCCCTGAGGGAGTTAAAGCAGGGCTTAGCAGGAGTGGCTCTCCCTGGAGCAAACATCCCTAGGCACACACAGCTGCTGCGTGATGGGCCATGGCTGGGCTTCCACACTGGCTGTGGGGAGAAGCCAGAACTCCATCCCAGACTGCCTGAGGATCGTCCACATCGGCTTGGGGCACCTGTGTTGAGGCTTGGACACAGGGGTGGCATAGCTGCTGTCACACAGGGCTGCTCAGGCTCCTTCTGCAGAGTGTTTGCTGTAATCCTGTTTTATAAATCCAGCCTTGGTCTTTGGCCTCCCTGAGCTCTGCTCTGCTGCTTCCCAAGTTAAACCCACTGATCTGACTGAGGCAGGAGCAGCCAGGGCATGCTTATTGCCATGGTGGGGCTGGGAGAAGAGATTTACTAAATCATTGGACCAGTTTCTTTTGGAAAGAGTCTGTGTGAAAATATCAGAGCAGTGCAGGATAGCCCCAGGTGTGATGGGAGAGAAGGGGTGACAAAGAAGAGCTGAGCATCACCCTTGGGTGTCTTCTCCATCAGGGACAATCCTCCAGCGTGCTGGCCCCTCAAGCAGTGGGGATGCCAACAGCAGGGATATCCCCTGCACTAGAGGGGAGGTCGTGGTCCCTGCCTGTGCCAGCTCTGCTGCTCCAAGTGTTCCTCACTCCCAGCAGTTTCCCCATCAGACCAGCTGTCCCCAAAAGCTGCTGCTGGGGGTGAGCACCCGTGGGTGAGCCATGCTCAGGGTGGGCTGAGTAGCAAGGTCCTGCAGCAAAGCCAGGGAAAAGCAGCAGCCGTGTGTCTGCAGTTGCCATCTCTGGGCAAACATGGTCACCCAAATTGTTGCCCCTTTCCTTTCCTGCCCATCTTCTGGGAGGAGCTCCTTGGAGAGCTGCTGTGCAGGGCAGGGAGCTGCTGAAGCCCAGCCCTGGTGAGCAGAGAGGGGCTCCATGTGGAATACAAATGAGTCTGGGCACAATAAGCGCGTGCAGCACCTTCCCCCTCGCTCAGCCCGCTGTCTGTCGGGATCTCCAGACACCAATCCCCTGCAAATCTCCTGCTGGCCTTTCATGACCTTCAGAGTCGTTTCAATTCAGTGTTTTCAGCCTCTAAATCTCCTGTCCTTAGCCCTGGGTGACTTCTGGGGAAAGAAACGGGCTCCTTAAAGTGCCAGGGCCATCTCTGCACCACAGCCTGCTGGAAATCTGCAGGTATTTCACAGCCATGCTTTATTTTTGGTAATTCCTCTATTTTTTGTTGCTGTTTGAACCCCACAATTGACAGCCCCAGGTCTGAAATCTGGAGAGGTTTGGGTGACTGCCCTGTACCCTGCCAGGCTCCCCAGTGCACTGTCTGCCTCCTGGGCATCTCACAGTCCCTGCACGCAGCACACCTTGAGCTGCTCTGATTGATCTGTAACACTTGAAAAATAATGGTTTAATCATTATTAAGGATTAGAAATAATCCTTGAGCTGTATTGATCACAATAACATTATTCATGATGAACTCATTTGGCATTAATGGGGACGTCCTGCAGCAGTGTGTGGCTCCAGGCAGACCCTGGGGAGCTGTCAGTGGGGTTTGGGGGAGCAGCAACAAACCCTGCCCTAACAAACACCTCCAGGAGCTGCTGTCCCACAGAGCCCCCTTGGGGGACCCGTTGTTATTGGCACAATTTTGGAGGATCTTGAATCCAGCAATCCCCCATCCTGTTCCTGAAGCAGCCCATCTCTGGCAGGGCTGGATGGGCTCCCTCCAGCACCAGTCAGGGATGTGACAGGATGGGACTGCTCCCCTGGGAGCCCCACACTGGGTCTGTTCCCTGTTGCAGAGGAGGGATGGCAGCCTGCCTGCTCGGCCCCTCTGTCCTCCCAGTCACATCTTGCTCACGGGGCTGAAATGTCTTTAGTGAGGAAAATGCTCCAGGAGCAGCAGCTGGAGGGCTCTGGGGATGCCTCTCCTGGGTGAATAGCAGCCAGGAGCCAGCACAGCGCCCTGCTGTGGCTGTGCCGTCCTGCTGCAGGCTCACCCATTCCTGCTATTTATCAAACAAGAACATCTGGGTTTCCTTTTTTATTTTTTATAACCAAAATTGTGTCTGGTTTGACTTTGACAAATTGACATTTTCCAGAGGAAAAATATCTTCTGTCGAGGTGTCGTTCCTGGGTGTAGCCGTCCCTTACTGCACCATTTGCAACCCTCCAGGCACTTTGCACAAGGCAATGAATAGTTAAAGATGTCCATAAATCTTACCCCAGCCCATAATAAACAAACACACTCTTATCAAGTACAGAAAAATGCATATTTCATCACCACTGCCTTAAACGCAACTCAGAATAAATGCTCGTCTTTAATCAGCCATCTCAATGTATAAACAGAGCACAAAAGCTTGCAGGGGATGAGGTACAGAATTGGGCCACGGATTTTCTAGGCAGCTCTTGGGGGCAGGGATATGGCTGTGCAGGTGAGACCATGAAAAACTGCCCTGAAAATTCATATCCCTTGGCTTTTCTGTCCAGCCAAGTGTTGTTTCTCATTCCCTCCTGCCTGCCACTGGAGCCATAAGGATTTTGCTTCAATGTTCAGCTGATAGCTGATCTTTCCCCTTGGATGCTGGCCACTGAAAGCAAGCACTTTGATTTAGAAATCAAGATTAAGAGAAAGAGAAAAGATTAAACAGGAAAGTTTCAACCAGTACGTGCTGAGATTATGCAGTGATGGATTTGTGTTTCCCAGCATCTGATAAGAACAAGCTGCATTTTCAGGCTGGGGAGGGCCAGATCTGTGGTTTCTTTCACCTTACTTTTGAGTGCCTGTGCTTTGCCACGCTCACAGAAATACAGAATTTGCTGCTATAGCCCTGCTCAAGCCGCCCTGCCAGGACTGGGCCTGCCACTGTCCTGCAGGGCCAGGGGGGCACTGTGGCACCTCCTTCCCCTGAGCACCCAATTGGAAAGGCTGAGACATTTTGCATCCCTCTGTGCTGGTGGGAGTGCTGGAGAAGCTGGAGACAGTGGGGACAGCAGCTGTGACCTGTGGCCGTGCCCAGAGCTCCTATGTGTGGGTGCTCTTATAGCTCTTATAGGAAATAACTTCCCAGGGATACCACTGGACTTTACTGCTGCTCCTGTGGGCTTCCACCAGCCTGCCACATCCCTGATGAGCAAAGGAATGCTTTTCTATCCTGGGATTTGTGGTTCATGGTGTGGAAGTCGTGTGTGTAGCACTGGGACTCTTGAGTTCATTCTGTGGTGCTGCCCAGGCAGTGATTTGGGGTTGTTTTTTCACCCAGGATGTCAGTGCTCCTTCCTCCTCCAGCCAGCTCAGTGTGTGAAAACAGCCCAGGCTCACCTCTCTCCCTGTGCTCTGACTGCCAGCACCACCTGCATGGAGCAGAGCATGTCCATCCCCCTCCAGGGAAATATTTCTGCAGGGAATGAGGAGCAGGCAAGGCAGGAGCCTGTGCTGTAGGGTACATCTTCCCTTGCTCTGTGTCCCACTAACTCTCCAGGGAGCCCTCTGGGGACTGCAGCAGCCTGGAAACCCTCATGGCCTGTTAGCCTGGTACAGACTGGCCCCTGGGGCTGGGAGCTGGCAGTGTGCATCCCCTGGGAGCCTTGAACAGCTCATGGCTGGTGGGAGGCAGGCTGTGCTGAGTGTGGCATGAGCAGACATGACCCCGTGCCCCTGTTAGCAGTGAGTGTCCTGCACCCAGGGCTCTGGGTGGCCCTGGGCTCTGTGGGCTGGCTCAGGACACTGGAAAGCCTCCTGCTGGCTTTTGGTGCTGATCAGGTTGTGCAGCCCTGGCAGGCAGCTCCCCAGGCAGTGCCCACAAACCAGGGGGCCTGGAGCTGCTCATTTTGTTCTTGGCTTTATTTTCTTTGTGATGTGGAGAGGATCCTGTAGAAAGCCTGGAGCTCTCACCCTGTTTATCCCCTTTGATTCCACAAAAGGCCAGATTGCAGCTTCTTCCAGGCACTGCAGTACCCCAGGGGCTGCCCAGTCTCCAGCCCTGCCCTGCTGCACCCTCTGTGCTGGTGAGGGGTCTCATGGCTGAGCATCCAGTGAGGGTGCCCTGGTGCTGAGCATCGCCCCATCCTGCTTCTGGCAAATAAATCCTGCTTCCTCTGCTTACCCCAGTGTGGCCATGGGGTACAGAGGGGTTAAATGTGGGTGGGCAGCACATTGCACCTCTGGGCCCCAGCACTGGGGCATTTTGAGGGGGTTTTGGGGGGGTTTTTGAAGAGTCTGCCTGTTTGCTCTGAGGAGTCTGAAGAGTCTGTTTGCTGTGCACAGAGCTGGGAGCTGTCAGTACAGAGAGCTGGGCTCAGCCCTTGCCCTGTGCAACAAGAGCATGCCCTGCTCCAGCTGCCAGGCTGCAGTGGCTCAGCCCTGCTGAGTTCAAATGGCAGCAATTCCCCTGGAGATACTGGCTTGGCCCAGGAAAGGCAGGAGCAAGCAGGACAAACTGGCTCCCTGTCCCTGGAACACCCTCCCAGGGTGCTGCCCACCGTGCCTCCTCCTGCCCCCTTGCCCATGCAGCAGAGGGGTGCCAGGGTGCTGCAGGAACCCCCAGGCAGGGATGCTGGGCACTGGGGTGGCACTGTGCTCCTGGGCTGGAGTGGGCAATGCCTGGCTGCTCTTGCTTCCCCTGGGCTCATTCCTCCTCTCCCACTTGTTTTGCAGAGACTTGCCAACGCGGCGGAGAAGTTCCAGAAGGCTCACCACTGGCAGGACAACATCCGGGTAAGGCTCCATGGCACCCCAGCCCTGCCCCCTGTGCCAGGGCAGCCACTGTGCCATCCCTCCCTGCCCATTCGTGTCCCCTCCGTGAGTCACCGCTGGCTGTGCCGTGCCCCAGCCCCAGCGCCTGCCATGCTAATGAGAGCAAATGAAGCGATTTGGAGCTCGTTTGCAGCCTCGCCTCAGCCTGAAGAGAAGGCAGGAGGTGAAGGTCGAAGGGACAGCTCAGCAGTGAGGGGTGAGGGCTGAGGATGCTCCTGCTCTCCCCAGCTCTGGCACCGCTGGGTTCGGTGCTGGGGGGCTGGCACGGGGTGACAGCAGCGGTGGCTCAGCTGTGGCACATGCCAGCAGCTGCGGTGGGGGCTGCTCCTGGGGAAGGAGCAATCTGGGCTGGGAGAGGGAAGACGCGGGTTTAATGATTGCATTTGACTTTGTAATTCTGGCGGTGATAGCACTCAGCAAGAACCTGAAGGATTCTGTCTGGAAATGCTCTCAAATTATAACCATAATACAAAAGGAAGGAAAGATTGTTTTTCTCCCAGTGCAAATGGAGTCTGCAATAAAAAATACTCCTGAGCCACCCAGCCCCTTCCTCTTGGCTAGGATGGCATCCTGCCCAGCCCTGAGGAACCCCCTGCATCCTCTGAGGGGACAGCCCGGGATAGCCCCACTGCCAGGCCAGGCTGCTGTATTCTGGGGGGTATTTCACAGTCTGAGCTGCTGCTGCTGCTCACATAGACCTTCTTGCCATAGGTGATGGTCACCAGGGCTTGCTGGGGAGAGGAAGAGGTGGGAGAAGCAAAGGAGAAGGCAAGGGATTGACCTGCTTGGCTTTCATTTGCCATGTGGGCAGCGTGGGGTGGAGGCTGGTGGCTGATTCTTTGTCCCAGGGGCACCCAAGGAGCAGGATGAGCTCACAGGGGTCTCCCTGTCTGCATGAAAGCACTGCTGAATTGCTGTCAGCTCTTCCCAAGAGGCCAGGGGAGAGGAGGTGAGGAGGATGATGAGATTTGGTGCAGGCACCTGCGATGCCAATGCCGGTGCCAGACCAGGACCTTGGCTTGGGGCTCCCAAGGAAAGCTCAGAGAAGTGCAGGGCATCTTCATCCCTAGAGTTTACCCAGTCTCACATGTCCTCCAGGACCAGGAAACATCCCTGAGCAGCACCTGAAGCTTGACTGTGGGTACCCCAGGGACGCTGTAGTTGTCCTGTACCCACCATGCTGGGCTGGCACCCAGGGTTGGATGCCTTGTGACCAGGGCATGTGCAGGGTGGGCACAAGGTCACTGCATTTTGTAGCAGTGCTTGGAGCTTTTGCTCATCCTCTGGAACACAGGAATGGGCTCCTGCTGCAGGGGCTCTCTGCAACCCCACAGAGCTCCTTCTCCAGCCAGACCTGGCTGGCTTCCACTGCCAGGGGAATAACAGCAGGACACAGAACACGCTGGGAAAGGCTGTAGCGCTGGGAAGCTCTTGGCTCATATTGCCATTCACGGCACAAACCTTTCAGAAATCCACTTTCATAGAAAAAAAAATATTTTTAATAGCACTGTTTGCAACCACTTAATCAAGGTAATTAGGAGCGAGTCACCCAGAAACAATGTGCAGTGATGCGTCACCGCAGAGCTCGGCGCTGCTTTATCAGGACAGCCCAGGCCTGCCTGGGACACTTGATGGACTGGTCCAGCTCTGTGCACAGCCCCCAGGGTGCTGGGTATCATCCCTGCCTGCCTCAGTCCTGCCTGCAACAGCCCCAGCTCCTGAGCAGAGCAGAGGGATGGAGGGGCTTTGGGGCTGAGCCTCCTTTTCCTGCCCTTTATCCTGGAGATGGATGGGCAGGGTCAGAGCCGAGTGCCAGCACCGCTGACCCTGGCTCTGCAGCTGCCCCCACAGCAGGCAGGAAAGGGGCAGCAGCACAGCAGCGCAGCTCCTCCTCTCCTCCCTTCCCACCAGCAGCTCGTTCCTGCTGGCTGCAGCTCTCCCCTGCTCTCCCAGCGTGTCTGTCCTCGCCCCGCGCCGGAGTCGGTGACAGATTGAGGCAGGCACGGTTATTTCTGTGTTTCCATCCAAAGGCGCCGGCAGATGCTGAGTGTTTGCACTGCATTAGTGCTAATGGCAGCCCCATTAAACCTCACTGCAGATGGGTTGCTATGGAAGTCCAGGGGAAAATGAAGCAGGAGCAAGAGCCTGAGCGGCTGGGAGCTGCTGCCAGCCATCACTCACGAGCTGTCTCTACGGGGAAAGTTCCTTTTCCTTTGCTGTTTTCTGGTTTCCTTGCTTTTGTCCAGCTACATCCCAGCCAAGCTGGCCTCTCTGGAGCTGAGCTCAGCCTCCCACCACAGGAAGCTTTGCAAAGTGCCTCCCTGTTCCCTAAACAATCCCTTACTCCTGTCCTGCTTCATCCCTGCTCCCTGTGCTCATTCACCCTCATGTCTACCAGCTGTGCCAAGCCGGGGCTGTGTCCCCAAATCAATTCTGGATATGGGGCATTTTCCTTGGTCAAAAGTAGCCTTGGCCCCAACGTCACCCGTATTCTGAGCACCCTCATGAGTTCCCTGAAGCTTGTTTTACTCCAGGGCTGGGTGGCAGCTCAGAGTGGCATGGTGGGCAGGGATGTGGGGAGGGATGTGGGGAGAGATTGTGCCCTTCCCTGCCAGCACTGTGGGGGTGTCTCAGGGATGCACATTCACCCCCCACTGGAGAAAACTGGGAGAGCTCTGGAAAGGTGAGAGCTGGGTCCTATAGCCAGAGTGGGCTCCCCCCAAGGAACATGGCAACCACCTGGCACTGGCATGGTGGGAAACCACAGAAAATTCCCCTTTGCAGTGGCCTGGCCTACCAGTTCTCCCAGTGAGAATCTTCTGGCCTACAGGCTTCCATTCAGAGATCCACTGCATAGTCTGGCTCCACTCCATACAGAGTTTGTCCTTCAAGGCACATCAGGGCTGGCCCCTGCTCTGGATGTCCCCAGTTCTGGCTGTGGCAGTGGTTCTGAGCCTGCCCTATGCTGACCACCCCAGCAGCAAACAGAGGTGCCAGGACTCCAGCACACCCTGCAATGCAGCTTTCAGGTTTCCATCCTCTGCTTGCTGCCCTGCTTGGGCAAGGGACCTGCAGAAGTAGTATAAAAATGCTGAAAGGTCATGCTGAGTTTTTTGCTGCCATCCTTTGTATCCATCCTCGCTGACAAGTTGCCATGTGGCCTGTCAGACATCCCAGCCAGCTCTATGTTCTCCCAGCTCTTTTCCATTTGTGTGCTCTGCTTTCCTCCCGAGTTTTCCTTGGGTTCTTTTCCAGACCTTCAGCCCCATGCCCGCAGCATCAGCCGGGTCTCAGGTGTCCCACACTTACACAGTGTGTGGGGAGTGGGGGCAATGCTGACCTGGGGGATGCTGTCAGAGGTGCAGATCTGCACTGCCAGCCACAGAATGCATCCCAGGCCAACATCACCACCATCATCATTACCATCATCACCATCACCATTATCATCACGGTGTGTAGGTGTGCTGGGGCTGCCAGAGCTATTTATGCCTTTAGGGGACACTCCAGTGCTGCAGAGATCCATCCCCTCGTTTATGTGTGCTTGGCAGGATTACATAAATTGCCTTTAAAAGTTGACTTCTTTATAAGCCATTTTCTGCTTCATAAAATGTTTATTACTGTTGTTTTTCTCCCAGTCTCCTTCCTCGCTGCATTTTCCATCACTATACGGGGAAGCTCCCCTCTTCCTCTGCCTGCTGCCCCTCTGCCTCCCACCTCTCCCCACCTTGTGATGTTGGAAAGGGCCCTTTGAAGGGTCAGAGCCCAGCAGGCCCTTTTTCCTTGGAAAAGAAAAATAGCCATACATTGAGCTGTGGATGTAGGAGCTGCTGGGGACAGGGTTTAACCACGGGGTGGTTTTGGGGAGTGGTGACATTTGTGGAGGTGGCAGGGGGATCACAAGTGCTGGACAGCCCCATGCTGCTGCCTCCATCTGTAACCCCTGCCTGCAAGCACATGAGGAATAACAAAGCCCAGATAATTTCAAGCTCCATTAGAAACGAAACTCCAGGGAGAAAGGGATTGCTGTTTGCCAAATGGGGATGGACAGGAGCAATAACAGGGACCGTGCTCCTGACTGGCCAGGAAAGGTGCAGGATAAAGCAGGGACACATGGCAGCATGGCTGGGTACCCAGCCATGGCCACACAGCCCTGGGAGCTGCATCCATCTGTAGGAAAAGCAAGGCACCCCCAATGAAGGGAAGAATGACAAGGAGGACTCCATTGATATCAGAAGGCTAATTAATTACTTTATTATACTATATTATTCTATATTGCACTACATGTAAACTGAATCTGCACAAGCACTCAACTCCACTGAACAAAACCTTGTGACTGTGTGCTGACCAACAGTCTGCACACACTCCTGGCCCTGACAGGCCAAGGAAACAAAACACCATCACTCTGGGTAAACAATCTCCATACTGCCTTCTACTTTGGCACAACACAGGAGCAGAGAATGAGATAAGAGTTGTTTTTTCTTTCCCTGAGGTTCCTCGCTGTGATTCCCAGAAAATATCCTTAGGAAGTTGTGCCTTGCTTTTCTCTGTGAAGGGAAATGTGCCCACATCCCTCCAGGTGCAGGATCCTGCCCCACCCTGCTGCTCCACCCAGCACTGCACTGCTGGGTGTGTGTCTGTGGGGGAGCAGTGGCTGTGCCATGCCATGCCATGCCATGCCATGCCATGCCATGCCATGCCATGCCATGCCATGCCATGCCACGTGTGGGCTCCAGCAGCTGCTCCCGTGGGCTGGGCACAGCCATGCAGGCAGAGCTTTGTGTTCAAAGCAGCAGCAGAAGGGCGAGCGCCAGCTCCTTATCCTCCTTTCATTTTTCTCCTCCTTTAATTACAGATCCTACTTATCGGCTGAGAACAGAAAGATTGTCACCGTAACCTTGCACTTGCCCTTGTAGAAGGTTTACCTAAAAAGTTAGAAAATAAAATCAAATACTCTAATTTGC